AACATGGGGTAGCCGGTGTAGACGAAATGGCCGGGGCTGGGCTGCGGCGGGCTGCCGATCAGCGAGTCTATGCTGAAGGCGGTGCTACTCCCCAGCGGGCGCTGCATCATCATCAGCGACGGCGGGAACGCTGCGCTCATAGACGCGCTCGGGAGAGGCCAGGGAGAGGCGAAAAGTCCCCGGGCTGCGCCGCCGCCCGGAGCACCCCCGGGATCGCCAGGCCAGGGCCGGGCGGGATCCGGAGAGCAGAAGCCGCCGCCCCTCAGTCCTGGGTCCGCCGCATGCCCGGGGGCCGGGGTGCGTGCCGGGCGCGGGGGGCGGCCGTGCGCCCCGAAGTGGAGAGGGCGCCCGGGCCCGGAGCGATAGCCGGAGCGCTGCCCGCCGCCTGCCTGTCGGAGCCCGGGCGCGTCGCGTCTGCGGCTCTCGCCCTGGCCAGCAGCCGTGCGTGCGTCGGTCTGTCCGCCCCGCAGTCTGTCGCCTACCGCGGGCCGCTGGCGAGCAGGCGAAGCCGGCGCACTTGTCTCTGGCGGGCGCCACCAGCACCTTTAAATCGCGCTCCTCTTTCTCATTCACATTTTGCCTGCTGCCCGGGCGAGCTCGCCTCACGTGGGGCCGAGCGCCGCCGCCCATTGGCTGCGGGGCAGGGGCGGGGCGAGCCGGAGACCCGCCCCCTCCACCCAGACTTGCTGCGAGCGGGCTGCGGGCGCCACCGTAGGAGCGCGCGGGCCTGGGAGCCGCAGATCGGCTCCTGAACCGCGCCGAGCAAACTTGAGAAGGGCCGAGGGTACCTTTTGGGCTCAGACATCAGAGCCTGACATCCCCAGAGGGCGGCTTCCGGGCTCTCCTCCGGCGCGCCTGAGCCGGCAGCGTTTTATTTCTTTAATATTTGCAGTGAAGCAAGCCTGCCTGAGCTCACCTCGCTACTGGTGCTCCGGCTGCGCCAGGGGTCCGGAAGAGGTTCCTGGAGTTGGCGGCAGGGTCCGGCCCTTGCAGACCTTACCCCGGGGTGCAGGCTGGAGCTATGGGCCCTCGGCCTCCGGGAACCGGCGGAGTCGCTCGCGGAGTCTCCGGGGCTCGCAGCGGGGCGGGGAGGCTGCTGCCCTCCCCGCCCCCCATTCCGAGCAGGGCACTCCTGTGAGCGATCCCTTCTCATTTTTCATGACATTCTTAATCATCGTACCTATTTACCCACTTTGCCAACGCGGACCAAAATAACAACCACGATAATTATGATAATAAAGCGAGTCCTTTATCTGCTGCATCCTCGGGGAGGAAGGGGGGAGTTGCTCTGGCTCCGGATTGTATAACGTGAGATTATCCTGATGAAAGCTTTATGATGTTTGCTCAAATAAAAGCTGCGTTTTGTAAATAGGCGCTAATTAAGCACGTTGGGAACGGAGGGAGCGCTCACCCTGGCGCCCGCGCCGCTGCCCGGTTTCCAGCGCGAGGACTCGAGGGCGCACTGTCCCCCTTTGGCCGACTGCTGGATGGAGCCGATCCCTCAAGATATTTCCCCTGTGCTCGACAATGGTAACGACCCCAGGATGGGGGAGCGAGGGAATTTGGGGGTGGATTGGGTGAAACTAGGGATGCTCTTATACCCTGCTTCCTGTTTTTACAACTTTGGGCTCCAGAATTGCCTTTAAACATGGAACAGTTTAGTGGCACCGGCGGACTATACAAAGCGCACCAGCGCACGCGGGGGTTCCATACGCCTCCAGGGCCTTGGCTTCAATTTCCCCGGTTGTAGACGCCCTCCTCGAACCCGGGAGCACCCGGCCGGCCTCGGAAAAGGAGAGGAGGGCATTGTTACCATCGGTCATTAGAAATCAGCTCACGCGGAGGAGTTAGTGGTTGGGGAGTTGGCCCGTGTTGGACGTGTGTTATGTATCACTTACAAGCACATTTAATTGGGAGATAAAGACAAATCGATCTTTATGAATTTATCGACCCGATTCTTTGAAGCCCTTTTTTCCCATTCTTTCTCTTTCTCTCGATCTAACCCTAAGGCCCCCCTAGGGGACGTCTTAATCCCAGACGGCGTCCTCAGCCAAGGGTCTGGCCAGACGCCCACTGCCCACCCAGAGCGCCCAGCAGGTAAGAGGGAGGGTGCGTCCTTGGCGCCCCGGGGCGCTGAGAAAACTTGTGGCCCCTCTGCCAGCGCCAGCCCCCCATCCCCGGGACAAAGGCGTCTCCAATGCGTTTCCCCATTCCAGGCCGCAGTAATAGATGGCTTCGGCAGCAGGCGCTTTGAAAGGAATTCATTAGGGCGCTGCCTGTATTGCCTGCACTCACTTGCAGCCCAGACCCCGAGGTGGCTTTGGCAGTGTGAGGAGAAATTTATCCCCTTGGGATCTGCGGGAAGGAGGTGTCTGCGGGGTCTCCAAGCTCTGTCCCTCCTCTCCCAGGCCCGCAAAAGAAGAAAAAAGACAAAATCGAAGCCCAGGTCAAAGGGCTGATTTCTTCACGAGAATAATAAGTATTCTCTCTCATTATGAGATAGTTGCAGTAACGACATTGGATGCCATTACCTTATTTTTTCTAATACTAAGAATAAATGCTTCCCTGATTTACACTGCTGCAAGGAGATTCCTGCCCTGCTTGCCACTCCAGGGCCCGAGTAAGCTGCCATGCATTTTACCTGGGCAGGTTTGCCCGCCACTGTTATTTTGCCACAAAAATATTGTCCTCGTGACTTCCATTTTCTGACTACCCTGAGAGAGACAGGGATTCCTTTGATTATTTTGGTGATGATGCTACCTCTTAAAGTTCAGCAAAAAGATTTAGGTTTGCTGAATTATAGCTACACTTGAAATAATTTGATGGCATATTATTCGCATCCATAAATTGCCCTGAAAGTATTGACTGCAGGGGTTATAATACTAATCTTCTTTTATTAGTGAGTTCAGATAATTCTCATCAATATGAATTTTATTTACTAGTGTGCTTTTCTCGAGTGTAAGGCAGTAATATTTTCTCATCTAATGCTTAACTGCTTAGAAAACGACTGTTCCTGTCATAAAAAAGAGCCTCATATTTCGGTGTGATTAGCAAGATCCATTCGGGGCACCTCTGCTACCTGCAAAAGTGTTCACAATGGGGGGGACTGCAGATAACAAACGCCATTAGACTCCTCGGTTCCTCGGACAGATTTATGGTCAGGGAGCGACAGGTACATGCTTTATCCATCTTTCAGATTCCTGCCTGCGTGGCTCCAACCGAAGAATCCCCAGTGACTGGCTCGGCCCAGGCTTTGAGGGAAAACCACCCCGCACATATCCTGGCAACTTTGCTGGAAGAGCCCTGTCCCCTCCAATTAGGAAAAAGGCAGGAAGTGCTCAGAAGGAGAGCTCAGGATCCACCGACTTCAGTTCACTTCCAAAAACTTTTTTTCTTTTTTCTGTGAAGCTTCCCTCCCATTGAAGATAGCTCAGCCCCGATGCACTGCACTTGACTGTGGATACCAAACTAGTGCCAGGGTACTATTGAGCCACTTAAAATGTGGCTTGAATGTTCAAGAAAAGTGTTGGTACCTGAGTTGGCTCTACACTTCCGGGCTGTCCCAGGCCGCGTCTACAGGTAGGTGTATGAAGGCTGAGAGTAAAGTGTAGAACACACCAGTAAATGAATATTCATGCGGCAAACTTTCCACGGTTGCCAAGCCCAGCCCACTGGAGGAGGCAGAAGCACCTTGCACTCTGAGAGGACCTCACAGGGACCTGGGTCTCCGGCCCATTTGGGAAACCTACAGGCCTCATGGACCACACTCTCCGCCAGCTGCCCAGACCCCTACAACCGGCCGGTTTCTCGGGCAACGGCTTGTTTTTATTTATAGGGATTTCGAGTGGTCTGATCATTGGGTCACTGCTGTAGCTCTTGCTCCTGGCAATAGTGGGGAAATAACTTGGGATGGGTTTTATTTATGGAAGGGCAATTGGGATTCACACCCAGCTCACCCAGAAGAGTGCCTCCCAAGCCCAAGATGCACTTACAAAGGGGGTTTTGTGTCAAATTCCCCATCAGACACACCAATTTGCAAGTAGCAGAAAGCATTGAAGCCTCATCTTTTTAAACTATTTTATTCAGCTTATTTTTTTTTTTTTAAACCTGAAAGCCCAAAATAGACTCCATGTGGTTCTAAGTGAAGTCAGCCCTTGGCTGGCTTTGAAATAGCTCCTGCAATTATGTAAAAGAGCCATTCACCAACAGGACAGAATTAAAAGGGATCTGGCCCGCTTGCTTTCATTGCCAACCTCTCCTGTTTGGCTTTTCAAAGCACTTCCAACACGATGTCTTTCTCCAGGACAAAAGGCAGAACAAAAAAAGTTCCCAAACTTGTAAATTGAACGTCAAGGGAACTTTAAACAATTTAAAGCCCATAAATAATGATAAAGGGGGCTGGCGAAAAAGGCAAACCCATTCAATTAATAGAGTTTCCCAAGCAAAGATCAAGTGCTGTATAAAATAAAAGTCTTTGGTTTCTTTATTCTGCTCCTTGACCATGCAGAAAGCAGGACAGGGGGTTTTTCTAAAGCACCCTTAAGAAGAAACACTTCGCGCGGCCGTGTGCGCTGCGACATTCTTGTGTAGAAAGTTTGCTTTTTCCCCCACCCTCAAAGTAGCAGAAGCAAAACAATTGCCATCCAGAAATGTGAAGGGGAGGGGCTCCCCCACCCCCATTTTCTCCAGGGAGTTGGAAAATGCTCTCCCCTAGCCTGAAGGCCAACAAATGTGACCCTTCACACCTGTGCCACTCCCCCGCGTCCGGGCGCTGGACCCGGCAAACCACAGCCCTCGTGGGACCAAGGACGCCGGCAGCTGTGCGATCTGCACCCGTGGGAGCCCGGAGACGGCGAGGATCGACGCACTGAGAGACCAGTCGCGCGTTGCAAACTCTTGGAACCCGGGGCTCCCCTGCACCCCACGCGGGGCTGGCCTCCCCAGGTGCGGGCCCAGGCGTCCCGGGCTCGAGCTGGAGTCCTCCTTTTCCGGAGCGGCTCTAACAGTTGGGGCTGGGGAGTTGGTGACCGCCTTCACCCTGGAAGCCCCGAGCCTGTGCTCGCAGCGCTTGCGTCTCGCCGGCAGCTCCAGCCGGCGCTGGGGAGGATGGAGGGAGCGCGCTCGCCCGCCTTGGAGCGCCCAGGCCGGGACGCGGGAGCACCGGGAGCAGGCCGGGCTGCAGGCTCGGCCCAAAGGCTGCGGGGTGAGGGTGCAGGCCTGAGGCAGGCTCGAGGAGGGGGCCCTGGAGCGGCGCCGATTTCGCCCGCCGCGTCTGCCTCTGGCCGGGACCCCGGGGCGCTGCTCACCCAGCTTTATCTCCTCCCACCTGCACCCTGGATTCCAGCGGCCCCACC